TTGGGACCTGACGATCTGTTGGAGTGTGAGCAGGGTAATATTTAGTGAAGGGATTCAGGGAAACCGGTTATTTTCATATAGTCGGACTTGAGTCCTGGAAATGGGAAGTACAATGCCTGCACTTTAAAGGAGGGGTTTGGGATATTGGCAGTTTGGAGGGATATGTTGTGTATCTTTATATGTGTATGCTTCTAGACTGTTGTATTCTGAGCACCTCTGCAAAAACAGTGATAATGTGCGAGTGTGGTGAAAGTGTTGAATGATGATGAAAGTATTTTCTTTTTGGGGATTTTCTTTCTTTTTTTGGGTCACCCTGCCTCGGTGGGAGACGGCCGACTTGTTGAAGAGGAAAAAAAAAAAAAAAAAAAAAAAAAAAACAATACTTTACATTGTGTACAAGCTGTCTCCACATTGATACAGTTAAATAAATAAAGAGAAACACTCCCAGTCCCATGTAACACCATTTTTAGAAGAAATGACACTCTGACTGAAGGCATACGAAAGGAATAATTTTCTAGTTACCCCCAGTAATATTATAATGTAAACATTTTCTCTGATGTTGCCTGGCTACCACATCTTATAATTATGTTAATTTATTCTACTGTGGGGTGTATTTATCATGTTTATATGTTACGTAGTGTGTTTATTATATAATTGAAAAAATATAGATGGATTAATGGAAATGTCTATATTAATGTAATATATGACTTTTAATTTTTTTTTTTTTTTTTTTAATAAGTCGGCCATCTCCCACAGAGGCAGGGTGACCCAAAAAGAAAGAAAATCTCCAAAAAGAAAATACTTTCATTATCATTCAACTCTTTCACCTCACTCACACATAATCACTGTTTTTGCAGAGGTGCTCAGAACACGACAGCTTAGAAGCATATACATATAACGATACACAACATATCCCTCTAAACTGCCAATATTCCAAACCCTCCTTTAGAGTGCAGGCATTGTACTTCCCATTTCCAGGACTCAAGTCCGGCTATATAAAAATAACCGGTTTCCCTGAATCCCTTCACTAAATATTACCCTACTCACACTCCAACAGATCGTCAGGTCCCAAATACCATTCGTCTCCATTCACTCCCATCTAACACGCTCACGCACGCCTGCTGGAAGTCCAAACCCTTCGCCCACAAAACCTCCCTTACCCCTTCCTTCCACCCTTTTCGAGGACAACCCCTACCCCGCCTTCCTTCCCCTACAGATTTAAATACTTTCCATGTCATTCTACTTTGATCCATTCTCTCTAAATGACCAAACCACCTCAACAACCCCTCTTCAGCCCTCTTACTAAAACTTTTATTAACTCCACACCTTCTCCTAATTTCCACACTCCGAATTTTCTGCATAATATTTACACCACACATTGCCCTTACACAGGACATCACTGCCTCCAACCGCCTCCTCGCTGCTGGATTCACAACCCAATCTTCACACCCATATAAGAGTGTTGGTACTACTATACTTTTATACATTCCCTTCTTTGCCTCCATAGATAATATTTTTTGTCTCCACATATACCTCTTCCCTCCCGCACTTACAGGAAAGTGGGTGCGGGAGGGAAGAGGAGCGATTGGTGGAATGATGATGTAAAGAGAGTAGTAAGGGAGAAAAAGTTAGAACATGAGAAGTTTTTACAAAGTAGAAGTGATGCAAGGAGGGATGAGTATATGGAGAAAAAGAGAGAGGTTAAGAGAGTGGTGAAGCAATGTAAAAAGAGAGCAAATGAGAGAGTGGGTGAGATGTTATCAACAAATTTTGTTGAAAATAAGAAAAAGTTTTGGAGTGAGATTAACAAGTTAAGGAAGCCTAGAGAACAAATGGATTTGTCAGTTAAAAATAGGAGAGGAGAGTTATTAAATGGAGAGTTAGAGGTATTGGGAAGATGGAGGGAATACTTTGAGCAATTGTTGAATGTTGATGAAGATAGGGAAGCTGTGATTTTGTGTATAGGGCAAGGAGGAATAACATCTTGTAGGAGTGAGGAAGAGCCAGTTGTGAGTGTGGGAGAAGTTCATGAGGCAGTAGGTAAAATGAAAGGGGGTAAGGCAGCTGGGACTGATGGGATAAAGATAGAAATGTTAAAAGCAGGTGGGGATATAGTTTTGGAGTGGTTGGTGCTATTATTTAATAAATGTATGGAAGAGGGTAAGGTACCTAGGGATTGGCAGAGAGCATGCATATTTCCTTTGTATAAAGGCAAAGGGGACAAAAGAGAGTGCAAAATTATAGGGGAAGAAGTCTGTTGAGTATACCTGGTAAAGTGTATGGTAGAGTTATTATTGAAAGAATTAAGAGTAAGACGGAGAATAGGATAGCAGATGAACATGGAGGCTTTAGGAAAGGTAGGGGGTGTGTAGACCAGGCGTTTACAGTGAAACATATAAGTGAACAGTATTTAGATAAGGCTAAAGAGGTTTTTGTGACATTTATGGATTTGGAAAAGGCGTATGACAGGGTGGATAGGGGGGCAATGTGGCAGATGTTGCAGATGTATGGTATAGGAGGTAGATTACTGAAAGCAGTGAAGATTTTTTACGAGGATAGTGGGGCCCCAAAATTTTAGATTTAATGTAGGAAAGAGGGAGATTTTTTCCCAGTAAAAGAGGCCTTAACAAGGATGTGTGATGTCCCCCCGTTTTTTCAATTTTATTTATAGAGGGGGGTTGTAAGGAGAAGTAAATGCGAGGGTTTTTGGGAAAGGGGGGTTGGATTTAAAAATTAAAGAATCCCAAAAAATTGGGAAATTTTTGTCACAGTTGCTCTTTGCTAAACACACTGTTCTTTGGGGTTGATTCTGAAGAAAAGTTGCAGAGGTTGGGGGGATAAATTTTGGAAAGGGTATGTAAAAAAGAAAACTAAAAGGTGAATAAAAGTAAAAGATAAGGTTATGAGGAAAAACAAAAAGAAAGGTATGAAAGATTGGATATCAGATTGGGGGAGGAGTAGGGTTTGGGAGGTAAAATGATTCAGATTTTGAGAGTGGACGTGTAAAGGGGAGGGGTTCCTATGAAAGTTTAAAGGGAAAAAACATAAATTAAAAAGGGGGGAAAAAGGGTGACGGTGCATTTAGGGGGTTCTGTGGGGGACAAAAAAACTTTTTTCCTTGGAACAAAAAGGGAATGTAGAGGGGATATTTTTAAAACCAAATTTGCCCCTGTATGGGGGGTGAAGAGGGTTTTGATAAATTTGCAGCAAGGAAAAGGGCGGGAAGCAGCAGATTTTCAGGGTTGAGGGCAATGTGTGGGGGAATATAATGTACAAAATTTCGTAGTTTTGGGAAATTAGGGGGAGGTGCGGGGGTTTCCAAAAAATGTTGTCCAGGGTGGGTGAGGAAGGGGTTTTTGAGGTGGTTCGGACAAGTAGAGGAAGGGGTGAAAAAAAGGGAAAGACTTCAAAAGTGTTTTCAGTCTGTAGTGGGAAAAGGGAAACGGGGGTTTTGGGGGGGCCTAGGAAAGGTTGGAGGGGGGGGTAAAAGGTTTTGGGGGGGGGGGGGGGCCTTGGACTTCCGCGGGGGGTGCATGAGCGTGGTTTTATAGGAGTGGGAAAGGAGGGAAAAGGGTTTTTTAAAACTTGAAAGTGCTTTTGGGTGTGGGCAAAGTAACATTTATGAAGGGGTTCAGGGGAAAAACCCGCAGGGCCCGACTTGGGGTCCTGGAGATGGGAAAATTCAGTGCCTACACTCTGAAAGGGGGGGGTTAATGTTGCAGTTTAAAAACGTATGGTTTAAAAACACCCCTTTTGGCAAAAACAGTGGGAGTGAATGATGGTGAAAGTTTTTCTTTTTCGGGCCACCCTGCCTTGGTGGGAATCGGCCAGTGTGTTAATAAAAAAATATATACCTCAATGCACCACTCACCTTTTTTCCCTCATCAATTCTACGATTAACCTCATCCTTCATAAATCCATCCGCCCAAGATATTACGTATTAATATGGCATCAAAGAGTAGAGAGACTGATGATTTTAATGTGCACCTGCATGACAGCACAGTGTGTAAGTATATTTAGGTACAGGTATACACAAGTATAATTATCAGAGCACATATAAAATATGCAATAGAGTGGAACCTCTGTATATAATCAGCTCCCTATTCGAACAAAGCTCAGCACTCGACAAAACAAATGCGATCTGCCAGAACTTCGCTGTAAACTACAGCCTCTCCTCACTTAGCGACATTCTCGTTTACTGACAACTCAGACGTACGACGGGCTCTCTGACTAGAGTGCATACATAAATAATGAGTTATTTTGTATTATTTGTATAAATAAGTCACCATGGGGCCTACAAAGATTAGTGGTAACAGCCACCCAAACAGAAAATTCGTTGGGAAGAACATGTTAGATACGCAAATGGAGTGGCACTTGAACAGCCTTCTGGAATGAATTAAGGTCGCATACCGAGGCTCCACTGTAACTTTAGAACACTTGAAATTTTGGAAAGTTTCCAGACATAATAGAGAGATGTGCTCATGGAGAATGTAAACAAACTGAGTGGGGTGCACTGTATTAGAGACTGGAAGCTGTATAGCAAGTTTTGGTCACAATTTGAAATCGCTGTATAGTGGAATGCCATAAGGCGAAACACTGTAAAGTGGGGCCCTTACTGTACTGTCTACTGCAAAATATGGGAATGGAGAAGGGAATTCAAGAAATGTGTGCTTCATACAACAGTATGATTTGATTGTGTAATGCATAGTGTTGACATTAAATTTTAATGCTGAACCTTAATTTGTCAGACTAACAATAATGATTCAAATTAATTAAAACATTACAAAGGTATATATTTCCATTCCTTGTTACATTAACCCACTTATAAATGAATTATATTTTTTCTCTGGAATTGGATAAAATTAATATGATCTGACTGACATCCCTTAAGAATAACTAGTTTTTATGAATGATTTTCATTACCATTCAAGTGATACAATTCCGTAATTACTGGTAGGTTTGTCCATTAACAAATTATACCATTAGTACTTCTTACTGACCTCAGAAGAGCCAGCCTTTGGAGAAAGTAAACATCCTTCTACATCAATTATCAAATCACTGGTCAGAGACAAGATTGTAGATTCTTCTCTGGGTGAGGCCCAAGGTTCTGGCATTGTAGTTAGCTTTTGCTTTAAGTCTGACTGTGAAACAGTGCTTTGTAAAGCACAGTTTTCTTTAGTCACACATACAAAGGAGCATCTGGAAAGAAAAATAAGTGAGAGATTGTGCAAATATCCTAAGAATTATACAGAAAACTAAAATTACATCTAAATATTCTGAAAACTAAATACGTACTGTTTTCCTTTAATGGAAATGTTTTGTATCATCTGAGAATCAAACAAAATTCTTTTCATCATACCTATTTGAAGGTGCTTTATTAAGGTGGGTTAAGAGGCTATTTGAATGAGGCGATACGAGGACAAAGGAATACAAATGATACCTCAATGGTGTACTGTACTCAAAACAGACAGAGAAACTATTTCAGAGCAAGGTCAATGAGTGAGCATACGGCATCTACCCTAATTTTTCCACGTAACTGGAAACTTTTTTTTTTTAATAGGGGAAGGGATTTTACTTATGTGAACAAAACATCCATTGCAGTTTTTCAGGCATTTCAAATAAAAAAAATTAAAATAATCCCCATGAAGTAAAAACTAAATGCCAATTTCTTCGTTTTCAAGGACTAGGGAAGATATACATATTTTTAAATTATTATTATAATAAAAAACAAGCGCTAAGCCACAAGGACTATACAGCGCTGCAGGGCAGGAAGGAAGCGAGGGCATCAGGTGGCAAAAGGGAGGTGGATGAGTAATAGGTTACGGATAACAGAGGAGCAGTGGATGGTGAAAGGGTAAAGGGCAGCAAGAGACTGAGCTAGAAAGGGCTGAGGGGAGCGCGTAAGGTATCATCATCAGAGTTTGTGGAGTAAATCAGTCGTTGTCAAGAAGTCAATGAGAGAGTCAGGATTAAAGAAGGGTCCATCAGCAAGAAGGGAAGGTAAAGAGAGAGTAGTAGAACGAAGACGACGTTGGAGGTAAATTCTGCGTGCACGTTGATAGAGAGGGCAGTCTAACAGAATGTGGCTAATCGATACTGGAACTTGACACTGCTCACAGAGAGGTACAGGGTGCCTCTCCATGAGATACCCGTGAGTAAGACGAGTGTGGCCAATGCGAAGATGGGAGAGAGTGGTCTCCCAACCTCGGCACTGATGACAAGAAGACGGCCAGTAACCTATGCTCGTTTTAAAAGAATGAATTTTGTTCCCCAAGCAGATTTGCCCAACGTTGTTCCCAAGGGGCGCGAAGGGGGCAGCTATTTAGCAAAATATCCAAAATGGAAACCTCTATGGGAAATTGGAGGTCTGTACGCTGACCGTGCAGCAGTGTCTGCTGTCATTGCCCTGTACGTCGACTCCCAGGGCCCCCAACAAAAAATATTTTTAGCTTGTAGGATAGGGCCCTTTGTCAAAGTTGGTAGGGGAAAAATAAAGGTGAGAGTATCAATTTTGTATGCTGTAAGCACTAAGGGATTGAACTCCACAAATGATGCACCGGCTAGAGGGTAAATAAGTGCGCAAATGGCATACATTTCAGCAGTAAAAAATCTCCCGAAGATAGTAAATGCCCCGCCGACGCTGCCCCGGAAAACATGTGCGAACCCGACCGGTCTGACGCTTAGGCATCGTGTACACAGCGGTGGCATGAGAGGGGAAAGTGGAAGTGTAAAGAAAAAGGAGGGGAACCCACCGTACATTGACTTTGAGCAAGGGAGTGAGAAAGAACAGCCCAAAACAGTGGAATTCCAGGGGGTGGGGAAAAGTGAATGCTCTGAACTTTAAAAAGGGGGTAACAAAGGGGGAAGACAAGAGTAAAATGTGGCGAAGAAAAAAGGGGACGGACAAAAGGGCACAACGAATAAAAAATGTTACTAATATCGGTGCCCTTTTATAAATGGAAAGTTGTGGGACCCCATGAAGCGTACATAGTAGCGAGGCAAGGGGCCAGGCGACAGACAAGGGGAACATTCGTTTTCTCATAGGGGTTTCAACGGGTGAAGAGCGAAAAGGCAAAGGCACAAACTTAACCCTTGGTGGGGGGTGGTTAAAGGCTAGGGGAAGTAGCGGGAAAGGGGCCACGGAATAAATCTGTCCATAAACGGGTTTCGAAAAAACGGGGGTGAATTTTGGCAAAGAGGTTCGCCGATCAGCTTCCCAGGAAAGATGGAAAGGGGTTTTAACCCCTTTTTGGGGGTTTTGGTCGTACTAGTACGTCTTACGCGTGGGGGGTTTTCGCGTTGTACGCAAAAATTTCTAGGGGCCTCAAATCTCCGCGAAAAGGCGGGAGGCCTAGGTGTGAGAAAAGGGGTTCCGTGGTCGGGTGCGGGTAAAAAAAAAATCTGGGACCCAGTGGTGCATTGTGGGATCCCTCTTAAAACATGTCCACCAGCCGCAGTAAAAGGCCTCACTCCTCGGCGAATTGGGGACCTTTTTTCCCGTGACATTTCTAAAGAGGGAAATCCAGTGAAGATATTTCTTTTTTTTTAGTGGGGTTTTGCCGAAACTATGACCAAATATCGGTAATGTGAGGAAAAAAACCCAAACGACCCCGCCTTCCACCTGGTGCGGCCCCCTCTGTTAAAATTTCATTTGTTCCAAAAACCGAAGAAAACTTCTTTTTCCCCAAATCCCAACCAAATGAGAGCAGGGGTGAGAAGTGATAGTGAATATGAACTAAAAACTCTTCAAACAATTTCCCATAGTGATAGTGAAGTCCCAATTTTCCCCCATGAAGCGTCGTATATACACATTATGCGCTCTGGTATGTCCCCCATATGTTATACCAAGGGGAAGGAGTGATCTGGGAGAAATCCCGTGGCTGTAAACAGGAACAGACAGTAAAATGACAAAGTACTTTAAAATTTGGGGATGGAAAATGTGGTGGTGGTAGTGGTCCCGGGGGGGCACCGAGGGGGCCAGCTCCCACCCCGCCGCTGCCTCAGCTGTCTAAAAAAGGGGGCCCACCCCCCCCCACTCCCCACCACACCAGCCCCCAAAACCAAAACCCTCCACCCCCACAACCACCTGCCATTGCCAGACCCCCCCCAGCAGCCGCCCCCGGGGTTTGGGCAGGAAGCTGCAATTTTTTTCCCAAATCCCCACAGTTGATGACAGCCAAAGTGGAATCGGCCATTTGTGCCTTTGGGAACAATCCCCAAACTGGAATTTTTTCATTTTTTGACGAACACGATGAAAAATTTCATGGAAAGCAAAACTACGGTACACCTGGCAAACACATTACTTTCACCAAAATCACGTCTCCCCAGGGGAAGGGGGCAACGTGGCTGAGATGATCTTTTCTTTGCCACAAAAATGTATCCAACTGTGTATAACACAAAGTGAAAAAATACGGCAACAGACCCCCCGATTGCAAAACCAGGTTTTAGTGTATAAGCCATTAATCGATTTGGCTAATTTTACGTATGCTTTACTTTCAGATAAAACCGGCTAAGAATGAAGGTTTTATAAAATTTGGAATTGGTTTTGTGTATCTGAAACAGAAATTTTAGTCCTTTTTATCCCTTTAGGAAATTGTAAATTTATGAGCTTGTTTGTTCAAAGAAACCTTTTCAAGCATACAACCAAGCAAAAAGGGGAAGCTTGGGAAAAGTTTTTGTGCTTTTTGGATTTTTTACAGTGGTTGGGATTGGAATTATTGTGAAAACGGGAAATTAACTTGCAAAAAACCGGAAGTTTTTGGGGATCTCAGGGGGATGTGGGTTTGAAAATGATAAAACCCTACTTTGGAAGGGGGTATATTATATACAGTAATGGGACACAGCCCTCACTCAGTGATTTTTTTCGAGTGAAATGACAGTGTGTGTCACAGTCGTGCAAATCGGGAAAAAAATGCCCAATTTGACGCTGGCACTCGTTTGAGGGAGGGGAAGGCGTTTTTCTGCCAATGACCATGATTTCGGGGGATGACAAAAAATTACACTGTTTTCATCAATTCACCCTAAGAAAGGCAACGGGCAGGAGCAAAAAGAGAGAAATGAAAACCCATTCTAAAACTGCCTGTTTGATTACACCTTAATGGTTCAGTGGCAAATGTGAATGAATTGGTTCGATTGTGTTCGCAAGAGTATAAGTGGACATCAAACTGTTTTTTTTTTCTTTTGGACATTGCCCTGCTCAATGTTTTTAAAATTATAAAATGAGCACCAGAAACAAAACCCCAGTACGGCGAATTCTGTTTTTCTTTCATCAGAAAAATATATTCAAGTACCCAAAGGAAAAGCACCCGCAATTGACCGCCCCACCAAATTATCAAAAAATTACCGCTCTCTGAAAATGGGGATCACTTTGGGAAAAAAAGCCCCTACTGCTTGAAAAAAAAAGGGTAGAAGAGGTGTTACTCTGTGCACAACAAAAAAAGCACACAACAACGCAGAGACACCTTTTATGTGTGGGGGTGTAAACCCCCTGGCTGACCCATGTTTTAAAGAGTTCCCAGGGTGCGAACTTCTAGAAAAATTCCCTGTGATGTAAGGTATTAAATATAGAAAAATAGTAATAAACATTTCATATCGTTTGTGTAAATATTTTCTGTAAACAAAATAATGACAACAGTGTTTACGCCCTTATTGTGTAGTATTTAAAAAGAAATAACTTACAAAATACTGATCATGTTGGCCTCAGAGGCCATAAAAGTTACTCAGAAAAAGAAAAATTGAAAAATAATTGAAAATAGTACATAAAAGTAAATAGAAAAATACCGGGTGACGGCAGTCGGCGATGTTACCATATGTTGTTCAATTTTGGCAAATTTCACGCCTCCATATCTCGGTAAGTATTGACGTTAAATTTTTTTTGTGTAGCCTATAATGTTTAGAAAAAAAAACTTTTTTCATAAGAAAAAATAATTTTTTTTTTTTTTTGAAATTTGGCCGACCCTGAGAACGAGTATCGGAGAGGGCCTGTCGACCCTCAAAGGGTTAAGAAGGTTTAGCCGGCTGTGACAAGTTGCCTTCAGAGAGGTAATGTGAGGTTTCCAGGATAACCTACGGTCAAAGAGAAGGCCTAGAAACCTGACTATCACGTTCGGGGATACGGGAGCCATAGAGATACAACGGATGATCGGAGATAACAGAGCGTCTAGTGAAAGTAATTTGGTGAGTTTTGGTACTTGAAAATT